CAAAAAGGAGGGAAAAAAAAAATACATAAAAGGACTGAGAAACAGCGTAGAATTTTGCAGAACCAAAAGAAGTAATAGATTTTGTTCTGAGTGTTTCGAGAATGTTTTCCACATCTGAGAAACACGTGATACAAATTAGTAGCTGTGGTTGGACTGTCCCAAGTTTGGGCGATGTCACGCTCTATGGTCTGCATAGACCGTTGAGATGAGTGGACGAAGCTAACACTGTAGCCGCCGTGTGCCAAATAGGAAGTTCTCCAGGAGGCTCTTCCGGCTCCTTCTGACTCTGGCTCCAGTTGACTTACATTAGGATTTTGTCGCCCCTCTTTCTGTAACTGCTGCTGTGAGCCTCTTCATTTTGGTCTTGTGAATGTTCTTATTAACCTGCTCTTCATGATCCTGCATTTTTGGTTTTTGTCCATCAAAAAAATTCTGTTCATAACATAGAGCCTGACTCCAGATTCGCTCCTGTAATCGTGAGCATCACGAGCCTCATTTGAGTAACGCCGAACGCTATGGGCGACTTCACACTCACTTAGTCGGCTTCTTTTATGATGGTCTGATTCCAGACCCTTGTGGGTTCGTACAGAATGTGGAAGAGCAAGTCAACTGGAACAGTACTTGGAAAAAATCGACAGGGACATTGAAAAGGGCATTGAAATCGACATTCAGCCAGTCAAGAGACTCTTGTGTTCACTACTTGCAGTTTTAGGGACGAGTTACAAGGCCAACACTGTCCACTGTACTACAAGGAACAGTAAAAAATATTTTTTTTGTGATGGTGATTATTAAAAATTGTGAAGTCATGGTTTATTATGAAACAATATATATAAAACAACTGAAACAAACATTAAATGAAACAATTGGCATTACAAAAAGAAACCCAAAACAAAACGTATACTTATCCAAATCAGATTACTGTATATGGCGTCTATAAAGTGCTTAAAGAGGAAGTATCATGCAAAATCAACTTTTATCGTTATAACATTGCTCCCTCATCATAAACTTGCCTGAAAAAGCTTTAGATATCATCCATGCATGTTTGTTTTTACAATCTCTCCCAACTTATTCAGACTCTCCTTTTGGTTTTGCTGTAAGATTCTGTCCAAGGCTCCGCCCACAAGCCTACGTCACCCACACTCTCACACAACAATTCTCAATAACTATACAAAAACATGATACAAAACTGTACACTGCTTCACAAACCTGATGGGATGTGCTGTAGTTTCATTAGTGGGATGCATGCTGATTGTATTTTGATAGCGCTCTGAAGGGGGAGCAGGGACCCAGAGCATCAAAAACAGAAATAAAGCTTATCAAACATCACATTGTTTTCAGTGAATAAATCATTTCAATATGTGATGTGATAGTTAAAACCCCAAAGAGCGCAAAAAATGAATAAATAAAATGGTGGACTCAAGATACTGCAAGTGCATCAACTATTACAGCCACATCGTCTAAAGCAAAAGAAAATTACAAGTTTTTCGTATTCGTATCCTTCTACACTCGCATACCACTTTCAGAATCTAGTGCATTTGTATAACTTGTACATCTCCTTTCTTTGCAATCATCACTCCTTCAATGCCAGCCTTTTGTGCGCGCTTTCGATTCCACCCCCATTACGCGCCAGATATGGGTCCGAGACTGATTATAACCTTTCTCCTCCAAATATAATACAAAATCTGAAGCATTATACCTCCATTGTGTCCTCGCGTTAGAGCACACTTGCGATAACGCTCGGTGAATCACGAGTGAGTAGATGGACTTTCATCGAGTACGTTGCCTTGTTACATAACCACCGCCACGGAGGGAACTGGTTATAGAAGCAGTTATTTCACGATGCTTTCAAAACGGTGTGATTTATCTGTGTTTTGTGGGTTAAACTGGGATAAGACACTACAGTCACTTCAGTCGTTTTGAAGGTGACTGGTTACACGAAGGCCATCCAGTGCAAAACTAAGAAGAATAATGCATTGGATTTATTTTAAGGTACACTGTCTAACTTTTCTAGCCAGGCCCGGACATCCGCGTATCACTGTATCACGGTATCGAAACGATTTGCATCCAGACACGTCGTTTCTGTGTCCACAAGTCTTCCCTATCCACACAGCTTTGAGCATATTTGTTTATGTTTTACAGAAACTAAAAACTGTACGGCTAATTTGCATAAATCGAGCACTCAAAAAACACTCGATATTGTGCGCTGATGCGGTTCAGCTTCTGTCGGACTAAAGGACACGACTCAGTGGAACATGAGTGTTCTTTCTGTGACAGAGGGGTGTTCTGCTGATGGTGAGTCTGTTCTGTGTTTCTATCGCGTTGGAGATGGTTCATGTTAAACTTTTGGTCGTACACACAGACCGTATTGAAAGGACATATATATTCTAACCTCTTAGCGTTTTGGCGGTGAATTACTTCGCGGCGCACAGACCTACATCAGTGTATCAGCGTTTTCAGGTGTCCACACAGTGCTGGATCAGATCTGTACTCAAATGAATTTGTGGGAGCTGCCGGCACCAGATCGTTCCATCTCTGGAGCCGTTTTCAATCGGATTAGTGTGAACGAACACTGCATCCACAACGAAAACGACTCGAATACGTACTAGTGTGGACGGGGCCTAAAATTCCATGACTTTTCTAGGCTTGGAAAATTACATTTTCAATTTCCGTGACTTTTCCAGGATTTCCATGACTGTGGGATCCCTGTATGTAAGATTTGTGAGTTAAACATGCGTGAATGAAACAAAACACAACTCCAGGTCTGCTTTTGAGGAGGTCACAACATTCTAACATGCCTTAAAGCTCACAAGAGTCAATTTTTCGTAATTTTGCACAAAACGACCTTACCGTAAGATAAAAATATGTATTCAGCTCTAATTAAATGTACTGAAGCGGCTGTGCCATTTTTCTTTTTCATCGTAAAGTGTCTACATCTTAACGATAAAGTGTTTTTATCATCCCCAAACCAGAAGTGTGTTGTCAGCATGCTAGCAATTGTTGTTAGTGTCACAAAACTCCGTTCCGGTCCCGTATATATGAATGGACATATATTCTATCCTCTTAGCGTTTTGGCGGTGAATTACTTCACAGCGCATAGAACTACATCAGCGTATCAGCGTTTTCAGGAGTCTACACAGTGCCGGATCAGATCTGTACTCAAATGAATTCGTGGGAACTTGCGGGCACCAGATCGTTCCGTCTCTGGAGCCGTTTTCCGACAGATTAGTGTGGACGAACACTGCATCCGCAACGAAAATGACTCCCAATACGTACTAGTGTGGACGGGGCCTAATACGTAACCCTCTTTTTGTCAAATCCAAATGTAAACACTTGGGAAAAAAATCATCCGTAGAAGTAAAATACCCCCTTTTTAATGTTTTGTTGACATTCAAAGTGCATTTTCAGCTTTATCGATTTACTCTCTCAGTTTAATCCAGAAGAAAGTAGGGTGGGCTGTCTTGCCAAAGGGCGGAATTAAACTCTAATACACTAAGTAGATCATTATTTTACTTTTCGTTTATTTTTAAATCGCAATATTGATCTAAAACAGCTCAGTAATGGAAATGGGACCTTTATCTTCTTGTTAAAAAAAAAACTGCTGAACAAACAAACAAACCGTCGCCTCTTCACTGTGCCATTTCACCGAAGAACTTTTATTTCGTTTTATTGTTGAAAAGTGGATATGTGGGACTTTAGAGCCCTGTATGTATCACTCTGAATCCTTTTTTTTTTTTTTTTTTTTACATATAAATGCAACTCAGTACAGGGATGTGGGCGGAGATAAGTGGTAGTTGAAAATATGCACACATCAGTTCTTGCAAAGACTTCTGTAGATAATTCTATGAAAACAGCATATACACAGTTTAGTAGTGAAAAAAGATGATATAGTGCTCTAAACCAGGACTAAACCAGGACTAAACCAGGACTAAACCAGGACTAAACCAGGTCTAAACCAGGTCTAAACCAGGTCTAAACCAGGACTAAACCAGGACTAAACCAGGTCTAAACCAGGACTAAAGTCAGGGCTAAAACCAGGTGTAAACCAGGATTTAACCAGGTCTAAACCAGGATTAAACCAGGTGTAAACTAGAATTAAAACCAGGACTAAAGTCAGGACTAAAACCAGGTCTAAACCAGGACTAAAGTCAAGGCTAAAACCAGGACTAAACCAGGTCTAAACCAGGTCTAAACCAGGTCTAAACCAGGACTAAAGTCAGGGCTAAAACCAGGACTAAACCAGGTCTAAACCAGGTCTAAACCAGGTCTAAACCAGGACTAAACCAGGACTAAAGTCAGGACTAAAACCAGGTCTAAACCAGGATTTAACCAAGTCTAAACCAGGACTAAACCAGGTGTAAACTAGAACTAAAACCAGGACAAAAGTCAGGACTAAAACCAGGATTAAATAGGACTAAGCCAGGTCTAAACCAGGACTAAACCAGGTCTAAACCAGGTCTAAACCAGGACTAAACCAGGACTAAAGTCTGGGCTAAAACCAGGTCTAAACCAGGATTAACCAGGACTAAACCAGGTCTAAACCAGGACTAAACCAGGACTAAAGTCAGGACTAAAACCAGGTCTAAACCAGGACTAAAGTCAGGGCTAAAACCAGGTCTAAACCAGGACTAAACCAGGACTAAAGTCAGGACTAAAACCACTTCTAAACCAGGATTTAACCAGGACTAAACCAGGACTAAAACCAGGTCTAAACCAATTCTAAACCAGGACTTAAAACAGGATTAAAGCCAGGTGTAAAACCAGGTCTAAACCAGGTCTAAACCAGGACTAAACCAGGATTTAACCAGGTCTAAATCCGCAACTTAATAAATACCTTTTTTGTGTTGGAATGGCATAATATTAAAAAATGCAGGGATTGGAAATGGAATGGAAAAAATGCCGCCACTCCGACAATCAGATGTCGATGTCGGAATGGCAGCATGTAAGCGTTTTTGTGAAATTAGTCATCTCGTTTACATTTCTTGTGTTCCGTTTGGTCTCAGCTGGCCCCAGACGACGCGTGGAAGTGCCCTCACTGTAAGCAGCTGCAGCAGGGCACGGTCCAGATGAGCCTGTGGACCCTGCCGGACATCCTCATCCTCCACCTCAAGCGCTTCAGGCAGGTGGGCGAGCGGAGGAACAAGCTCACCACGCTGGTACACTTCCCCCTGAGCGGACTGGACATGACCCCGCACGTCGTCCCCCAGCACCCGTCCAAGCACCCGCCCAAGCACGCGGCGGCCCACCTCCAGCACCCGGTGACGCCGGGCTGGAAGCAGGGTGCCCGGAGGAGCCCCGGATCAGCCCCGCCGGAGTTCCTCTACGACCTGTACGCGGTTTGTAACCACCACGGAGGCATGCACGGAGGACACTACACGGGTAAGTGTGATAATAACTGTAATTTAACATTGTTCTGGTAGGTTCCATCGCAAAAGAAAATAAAATTCTGTTAAGTGGGCAAAAGTTTTAAGAGTGAATTTGTTCTCGCTCATCTCATCCTAGAGGCTACTTCAGTTCTGACAGGAAACTGGCAGTGGCTCACTATTCACATTTTCTTTCGCTGTGTCCAGATAACAACAGAAATAGTTTGCGTGGTGTTTTTTTTTTTTTTTTTTCTTCTATACAGTCGTCTCTCGCTATATCGCGGTTCACCTTTCGTGGTCTCGCTGTTTCGCAGATTTTTTTTGGTGCGATTTTACATGCTTTTTTTTTTACAGCCTGATTGGCTAAGGCAGGGGTGTCAAACATAAGGCCCAGGAGCCAGATCCTGCCTTCCAAAACCTTTAATCCGGCCCTCGGCTGATTTTCTAGTAAAATATTTTAATTAGATTTTCAGTTAAAATATTGGTAATTTTCTGCGCCGCTTAGCATAGCAGCGTCTCTGTGCGTGGCCCCTCCCACCAGAGCAGCACAAATGAAGACTTGCCTGTCCCGATCGTCCTGTTTTAGTCCTAGTTCAGTCCTGGTTTAGTCCTCCTCTTCAGTCCTGGAATCAGTCCTAGGTTAGTCCTGGTTTAGTCTTGGTTTAGTTTATGGCGTGGGCAGCGCAAAAGTTATATAATCTTGGGTTAACGGGCGGGTGTGGTGTTGTACTTTGCGGGTGCAGGTCTCCAAAAATGGACCCGTGCAGGATTCTGCGCTGTAGGCTCCATTACGGAATAAATGAATCTTCGGTTCGTTACATAAAGAAGGAGGAAAATAACAAAAAGACAACAGAAGCAATAAGTTTTAAGAAGGATGTAAAAAGGGTTGTAACTGTCCTGTGTGAGAAAAGTGTATAAAGTGTGTGGTGAGGGATTTTACAGACTTAAAACAGATATAATAATTGTAAAATATAAAGTTGACTACTTCGCGGATTTCTCCTGTCACGGGTTATTTTTAGAACGTAACCCCCGCGATAAACGAGGGACCACTGTACACACTGAAGACATCAAATATATGAAGTATGATGTATGGAATTATGTAGTAGAGTAAAAAGCGTTTATATTTTATATTCACATCCTCAAATTTGCCAATCTTTGCTTTATCGAAAAATATTTTGAAGGAAAAAAATATATATCTTTGGTGCTAATTTGTATAAATACTTTGAATGAGAGGGTGTGTCCAAACTTTTGACAGGTAGTTTGTGACAACGTGAAAATGCTTTTGCCAGTGTGAACAGTCACATTCTGAGCTGTGCCAAACAAGAGCTCTTGAAACAGGTGGAGTGGGAGCGACTGCGGTGTGAAAGCTCTCGACCTACTTTCACCGTGCAGTCTGTGACCAAAGTCGATAGTTTGGAATTTGATCAAAAAGATTTTTGAGCTCTGGTGTCGTACACCTGGGGCATCAATGCTTAAAATTACTCAAGATGTGTGTCAAATGTTTGAAATGCGCAGAAGATTACAAATATCACATGTTATCTCGATGCCCACAATGCAGCATTAAACTGCCCATCTCATGCAAAATAACTCTTTTCACATTGTAACTTCTGCACATATACAAGCACAATTTGGGTTTTGGAACATCCATTACACAATAGTTATGAAATCTTACTGATTTCTTGGAGGCAGTCACAGACCAGGAGCTTTGAAAGACAACTCATCCCCCCCCGCCCGTCCTGAGAAAGCACAGGCTCCGCCCTCCAAACATGACGTAGGCTCTGAGTGAGCCACCCTTCCTCCGCCATCTCAGGGAGGGAGGGGGAGACAGACGTGCACCCTGATAGTGGTAGGAATAAACCTGGCGATACAGCGCGGCAGCCACATGTGTTGGACCCGGAATCAGACGAGGACTTTGAGGTGCACGAAGCGCAAGCACCGCATCGACATCAGCTGAACATTACTGATTGGTAAAGTATTAATAAACACTAGCAGATAAACTTATTATATCATGTACACTGCAGTGTAGAACAGTGAGCTTATGCTGTCGCTTTTGTTTAGGTGTTCATGTGGGAATTGTCAGCCGATGCGGGTGGAGGCGGTGGAGCAGGGGAGGTGTAGCTGCCACGTCATCGTTGTAGCAGCTTTAGTTGGTTGTCACGTGGGAGGGTGGCAGAAATACGCTGCAATGTGTTAAAAAAAAATGCACAATCAATCTAAAAAACACTTTGGCGACATATACAAGGCCCACACATCACTCTTAGAAGGTAGAAAGCTCTGAAAAGTTGATTTTGCATGAGATGGGCCCTTTAAGCCTCGCTCAGACTGCCCCCAGTCCAGCTGCAGCTCAGTGTGGGACCTGGTGGCACTCACACGAGGACCGGAGCTCTGCTGTGCTGCTGTGCTCAGCCCCTTTGAAGGCTGCACAGAGACAATTGGTTCCTGCAAAAAACACTTATGAAGGGAAAAGGCTTCGGCATTTGGCAACAACAGAATCCAAATGAATTACCCAGGACCTCCGCTGGCACCACCAGACTGATCTGTGCAGTCAGAGCTCTTCTCGCTACTTGTAATTATACAGAATACTTTTGACCACCAGTTTGAGCCCAGGGTTGCTCCCGATTTACACCAAAGCGTAACACAGCATAAGAGCAAGTATTGGCTTTCCATTTTAACCGATCAGACACTCTACACCAGCAGTGTCATACACAATTCAAGGCCGTCATGACACTACATGCCTGCTCAAATTAGACAGGAGTTCTAATTTTACAGCGTCAATGAAGCATCTCCAGGCTTTTTAGCAGGGAAAGACAGGAAATGGGCACATATCATCAAAATAAACTTCCTATGCTCTTTCAAATTAGGTTTTCTAAAACCACTACAGTTGCTTAAAAACCATGCATCACATCAGGAGCTCAGGGAATGACTACGGAAAGGTTTACAGCCGTAGAGGACAAATATAAAACACTTTCTGACATCAGACAGAAACTTTACAAGAACAACTTCTGAAGGAAAAGATGCGTAGAGCACACGAACTAAGTTAAATGATGAGTATCTTCATTAATACAAGCACTGCAGATACGGCTCATTATCACTGCAAAACATCGTTCCTCTTTTTGTTGTTTGTATTGTGATTTAAAACATAATTCATCCAATCAACAATTAATACATAAACCCTGTAAGTTTAGTGTTTAAATCCACAGAGGCTGGAGTCGCAAGAACAGTTCTGTAGCCTCTGGTGTAAATTGAAAGTTTTAAAAGTACACGCATAAGCAGCTCTGCCTACGTTATGTGCTGCTGACGCTCCTGGTCTAAATTCCGGGTTAGTCCTCCAGACCCTGCCCCTCCTCCCCCTCACTCTCCCCGTTAGTCCTCCAGGTATGGCCCAGTTTAGCAGCTCTATTTGAAATATGGCTGTGGATGGAGTTTAGTGTTTAATCCCACTTAAAATCGTACAATTTTTATCACAAACTTCATCCGAAATCAGAACCTACAAAATCCGTGTGTCATTCGTTCATTTGTTTTTCAATATAAAACCAAAAATAAGAAAATGAAAAAACAACTGTTTTCTTCATTATCTGTCTCCAAAACCAAAATGAAAAAACTTTGTGTTTAAATGAAGAATGGGAAAAAAATGGATAACGGCCGTTTCCCGTTTCCGTGACTTAAACTGTGATGCCGGACTTTTGTGCCAAATATAGACTGAACCAGGACTGAATCAGGACTAAACTGTTTTCAGCTCTGGTCTCAGTCCTGGTCCTGTCCTGGTCTTAGCCCTGGTCTCAGTTCTGGTCTCAGTCCTGGTCCTGTTCCTGGTCTTAGCCCTGGTCTCAGTTCTGGTCTCAGTCCTGGTCCTGTTCCTGGTCTTAGCCCTGGTCTCAGTTCTGGTCTCAGTCCTGGTCCTGTTCCTGGTCTTAGCCCTGGTCTCAGTTCTGGTTTCAGTCCTGGTCCTGTTCCTGGTCTTAGCTCTGGTCTCAGTTCTGGTCTCAGTCCTGGTCCTGTTCCTGGTCTTAGCCCTGGTCTCAGTTCTGGTTTTAGTCCTGGTCCTGTTCCTGGTCTTAGCTCTGGTCTCAGTTCTGGTCTCAGTCCTGGTCCTGTTCCTGGTCTTAGCCCTGGTCTCAGTTCTGGTCTCAGTCCTGGTCCTGTCCTGGTCTTAGCCCTGGTCTCAGTTCTGGTCTCAGTCCTGGTCCTGTTCCTGGTCTTAGCCCTGGTCTCAGTTCTGGTTTTAGTCCTGGTCCTGTTCCTGGTCTTAGCTCTGGTCTCAGTTCTGGTCTCAGTCCTGGTCCTGTTCCTGGTCTTAGCCCTGGTCTCAGTTCTGGTCTCAGTCCTGGTCCTGTCCTGGTCTTCCTGTCTCAGTCTGGTCTCAGTCCTGGTCTGTTCTGGTCTTAGCCCTGGTCTCAGTTCTGGTTTTAGTCCTGGTCCTGTTCCTGGTCTTAGCTCTGGTCTCAGGTCTGGTCTCAGTCCTGGTCCTGTTCCTGGTCTTAGCCCTGGTCTCAGGTCTGGTCTCAGTCCTCGTCTCAGTCCTGGTCCTGTTCCTGGTCTTAGCCCTGGTCTCAGTTCTGGTTTCAGTCCAGGTTCTGTTCCTGGTCTTAGCCTCAGTCTCAGTTCTGGTCTCAGTCCTGGCCCTGTTCCCGGCCTCAGTCCTGGTCTCAGTTTCTGTCTGGTCCCAATCTCAGTCCTGGTTTCAGTCCAGGTCCTGGTCCCAGTCCGGTCCTGGACTTAGTCCCGGCCTCAGTCCTGGTCTGATCCCGGACCTGTTTTAGTCCTGGTTCAGTCCGTAGTTTAAATCACGTAAACGAATATCCATTTTTTTCCATTATTCATTTAAACACAGAATCAAAAACTGAAAAAAAACAAAATAATAAAATCGTTATCTGTTTTTTCATTTTGGTTTTGGAGACAAATAATGAAGAAAATTGTTGTTTTTTCGTTTTCTTATTTTTGGTTTTATTTTGAAAAACAAATGAACGAATGACTCTACAAAATGATTCTACAAAACTATACTTTTCTCATTTCTGCTGGTCTCCTTCATGATAAATGTACTGTAAATATCCTCGCACAAAGGCTTCCAACCTATTCAAAACTTCCATATTGTATTGAAAACCACAAAGGCCCACCCACTGACCACTTCACGCTCTCGTCCCTCAGCCTTTTGTCGGAACTCGGTGGACGGTCAGTGGTACAGCTTCGACGACAGCAGCGTGGAGAGCGTTCCGGAGGGGGAGGTGTGCACGCGCGGGGCCTACCTCCTGTTCTACCAGCGCAGGGACTCCATACCGGTGTGGTCAGCCAGCTCCTCTCTCAGCGGTAAGTCCCGGCAAATCCCCCCCTCATCACAGAGCCAAGGATGAGTCAGAGGCACTCCACATCCGACGGACGCAGTGTGGTTCCGGTACATTAAAGCTCTTGCAGGTGTTCTTTCTTTCTCGGTGCGTGGCCGAGCGTGACAAAGCCTCCGGGGCCTCGTGCCGCCTGGTTTATCACGTGTTTGCTCGTGTGCAGAAGCGGGTACAACGACTCTCTGTACTGCAACGTGAAAAACTTCCTTAAAAACGTGGGGAAAATCAGAAACGGCCACTTAAAGGTTGTATGGAGGATTTTTTTTTGTTTCAAATTGTCAATGATAGCATTATAGAGGTGCAGTAGCCTTGTAATTATGATGACCAAAAAAAAAGAGAATAAAAATTCATCAACTCTGGACGTGGTGGGGCTAAACATTTGCCAATAGATAACGACACTGCCTCGTTATCTGTGAGCTGACAGGCTGTCAATCAAACTCCCTACGTTTCTAGCGTAACTGACTTGCCTGCGCGCTGCCGTTACGTGGTTTACGTACGTCTGTCACGCAGTCCACAGACGCAAGACGCACAGACGCTGTTTACTCCACCAACGCAACAGTTCTTAGCGGCTTTTTTTGACCTATATCTTCCTCGCAGTTCGCACAAAGTTTGTTGCAATGGCGACAAGAATCCAGGAGCAGTTCGCCGCAAAAGAAAGTCCGTTTTTGAGGTCGCTGAAAGAAGAAGACAAGGGGAAAAAGCAGCAAAGCCAAACTAAAGTGATTCTTGTAGATTCATTCCAGCGATGGCGCGACTGAAGCAGACGCAGGGTCTAAAGACTGACGCACTGGTCCACAAATTACTCCTGGACAGGAAACTTCTGCTTATTATGAAAATGTACTTTATTTCCAAGAACTAGACAAACGTTTTTCAGGACACGAATGCGATATCCTATGTCTGAAAACGTAATTTTCAAGGCAAAGAAAGAGTCCGCTTGCTGCTGCGTGTTGTAGCTAGTTCATTCGCACGGAATCTCCGCGCACTCTTCTCTGCACCCCTTTCCTGCTCCTGTCCCCGCTGCCCGATCCGCTCTTCCCCCCTGCTCCTCACTTCTCCGTCTTGCCTAACCAACACTGTAGTTAGTTGTTTACAAGTCATGTGCAGCGCACCGGCTGTAAACAAACCTGTTTCTGGCGTAAGGAGGAGGAGGGAGGAGGCGTTTCTACGTAGGAGCTGTAGGGGAGGGGGGGTGGTTTCACGCATGCGCAACATTTGAAAAAGGACAAACAGTCGCTGGATTTCTCGTTCCTTGGAAAATCCTCTATACAACCTTTAAAGTCAAAGAATAAACACATTTCTACACATTAGTTTTTCACATATTTGAGTCTGTCCTTTGAAAATATCAGACTGTGTGTGTTATTTAAGGCAGTAAAACTCAATATTTTTTTCACATTTGAAGAGCAAAATCAAGAGGAGAGCCACTTATACCCAACATGCGCCAACGCCACGTCACCTTTACAAATGTGCATTTCTACAGATAAATTGGACATCCCACAAAAAAGAAACACAGACAATAAAAACCATATTTAAGTTAATACTGGGATGAGTGGAAGCTGCATGCATGTCAGATTTATAGTAACTATTCTTAACCGATTGTCGGGAGAATTAACAATTGATTTTCAACTAATCATTAAAATTTTTATGGTAAAATTATCATCATTATTATTACTGTTACTAATCTGCATAAATAAACTCAACTTTACAACATATAAACCATAAGCACTATAGATATACTTTGCCACATCTGTTTACATTTTACAGAAACAAAAGTTAAACTGCATGGCTCATTTGCATAAACTATAAGCGCTGAAACAAACAGCTCTTTACGCTGATGCAGTTCAGCTTCTGTGGGATTAAAGGACACGACTCAGTGGAATATGAATGTTCTCTCTGTGACAGAGGGATGTTGATGATGGTGACAGTGAGTCAGTTCTGTGTGTATATTGTGTTGGGGGTGGTTCATGTTTTCAGAGATCATACTTGTACCAGGTCATACGTGTGCAAGTTTAGTGCAGCTCATTTCACTCACTTTATTAATGTTGGTCACTTTATTTAGATGATGTTAGTCAAGAGTATGGATTACTTTTTAAAATGCGGCTCAGGCAGTGGGTCGGGTACAGTATTTTCACATATTTTTTTGCGGTCAGAGTTCCGGGTGGGTTAGTTGAAAGCATCGTTTGGGTGATAATAATAATAATGCATCAGTTTTATATAGCGCTTTTTTGGACACTCAAAGACGCTTTACAGAGACACCGCTTTATTCATTCACTCCAGATCCGGTGGTGGTAAACTACTACTGTAGCCACAGCTGCCCTGGGGCAGACTGACAGCATCTGCGCCATCGGCCCCCCCGACCACCACCATCACTGAGTGCGTATACATGCACATCAATAACCCGGTTATGATCGGGTTTTTTGAGTATCCCGGTTTCTTGATGGTGCATGTAAACGCAGTAACCCGGTTTCAGTATCCCAGTTATGGCAGTATCCCGGTTATTAGAAACCGGGTTACTGTAGCTGGTTTATTCCGATAATAACCGGGTTACTTGTGACATGTATACGCAGTACCCCGGTTACTGCAACATAAAGTTGAGTGCGCATGCGTCCAAAAGACACTTTCCAGCCTTTCACCACAACAGTAGTCACATAAATAAATTGACCAACATAAATAAAGTGACAAACGAGTGAAATTACGTAAAATAAAGAGCTGCGCTAAACCTGCACACGTACGACCTGCACTCGTGTGACGCTGAAAAGCTAAAACATGAACTATCTCCTATAAACTCTATACACACAGAACACACTTACCATCATTAGCGCCTCTTCTGTCACAGAAATAACACACATAATCCACAGAGTCGTGTCATTTAGTCCAAAAGAAACTGATCGCATCAGCGGCGCAAGGAGCGAGTTGTTTTTATCGCCGCTAACAGTTTATGCTAATTAGCCTACGGTCTTAAGTTTCGTTTCTGTAAAACGTAAACAAATGTGATCACAGCTGAATTATCTGATCAAACGGGCTGATGTGTCTATAGTGTTTATGGTTTATATGTTGTAAAGTTGAGTTTATTTATGCAGAAGATTTTAATGAAGAATCTGCACAGTGGATTGTGGGAGATCTCGTAGCTCCTTAGCTTCTTATGCTAAAGGAGCTCACGGTTTGTATTTTTCCTGGTTTATGAAATTGATTTAATTAAATTTTTGCGCCTGCGCATTTGTAAGATTATGTCAAGAAACCGGGATACTCCATTTGATCATGTATACGCGGATATGAGTGTCCCGGTTTCTCAGTGCGCATGTAAACGCAGTAACCCGAATACTGACATAACTGGGGTATGGCTAATAACCGGGTTACTGATGTGCATGTATACGCACTCACTCACTCACACATCACTTTCATACTAGGCAATGAGGGTGAAGTGTCTTGCCTAAGGACACAACAACAGTTTGTACGACTGGCACCCCCCTGTGGCTCCTGATTTTCCCAGTGTCTCCCATTCAAGTACTGACCAGGCCCGGGTCTGCTGAGCTTCTGAGATCTGACGGGATCAGACTTTAACAAGCCGGTATGACCACAAACGGTTACGGATCGTTTATACATGGACTTGCACATCACTGGTTGCTGTTGTCACGGCGCCCCCTTTAGGAAACACCATTAATTAAGCCTTGATTTATACTCAGTGTAAAGCAGATCTTTGTGTTGCTGTGTTCACTGTATGTTTATCTAGCACAAAATATACTGGCTGTGTTACTGTTTGTGTTATAAACTTGTGAGCCACCAAATAAAACTTGGCGAGCCGCAAGCTCAAAAACACCTCATAGTCAAAACAGTCATTTTGACTATGAGCCGGGTCGCCTCTCCACAGATCTGACCTATTACTTGGTCTGGTTTGGTCTAGATGAAAATAGAAAGGAAACTAGAAACTGGAAAATTTACAAAAAGAACACACTTTAGAGCCCATTAATAAAGCGAAATGAACTTTTTATTTTCAAGGCAGGAGTAATTGTCATGTCTTTGGGATAAAAGACATCATTTCATAAGGTTCATATTTCATAAGTTAATAAGTCAGTTAAAAGTAATAAATAAGTTAATTCATTGGTAATTAAATACATTTATTTCATGTTGCCAAACTGTTAAAAATATTTGGGTAAGGTTGTCAGAGTGGGACATCTTCACCATTAAAGATCGTTTTGTTTTTCGTGCAGAGTGAGCGCTCTTGTGTTACATATGATCTTTGACGTTTTTCTCCGCACAAATGGAGCAGTTTCACGGCAGAAGTCCGTATAACTTTCTTGTACACGCTGATTTTGTTTCTAACGTTTGAACCTTGGCAAATTTTCGTCTTTGTAAGTATTTGAGAGTTCACAAGCACTTGTTTGGGGCTGTGTGTGTGTTTTCTTTCTTTTCATATGAATATTGGAACTTGTTGCTAACTACTGCAGTAATACACATGTATAAGCTAGCTACTTATATTTGTACATCAAACGTGCTGTGTAGTTGGTAATGTTCATTTCTTTTTCTGTATGTTTCAGTTACTATATTAAGGTGTCACCACATGAAAGAGACCTCCATAAAACAAGAAAGTACGCCTTGTGTACGGAGCTTTCTTTATTAGTTCGCTGGCTGTCTAGCTTCACCCAGTCACGTGTCGTGAGGACAGCACAGTAATTATTAGACAAATTGAAGTTGAGTTTGTCCCCAGTATTTGAAACTTTAAGAGAAGCATCGCAGAAAACTGTAGTAGTTCTTTGGATCTCCTAATTATTTTTATTTTCAGCAATTAATTAATTAATTACTAAAATTCCATGTCACTTCTTATTAAATCTCCAGGAAAATTGCATAGTTTCAGAGAGGCAGGAGTTTTAATGTGTCTCATTACTGACGCAGACCTGAACCATACGAGTTTCTGTGGCGCTCATCACGGACCAGGTGCATCCCGGAAATCCAAACTAATTTGCATTCCATATT